ACATCAGCGGGCATAGCTGATCATCTCATCAATGGAAAGTAGCGTCCCGTCAACAGCGAGCCTGGCTGATCATCTCATCAGCGGAAAGTAGCTGGACCCATCAGCAGCGACCCTGGCTGATCATCTCATCAGTGGAAACTAGATTCCCATCAGCAGCGAGCCTGGCTGATCATCTCATGAGTGGAAAGTATCTGGTCCCATCATCAGCGGGCATAGCTGATCATCTCTTTAGTGGAAAGTAGCTGGTCCCATGAGCAGCGAGCCTGGTTGATCATCTCATCAACGGGAAGTAGCTGGTCCCATCATCAGCGAGCATAACTAATCAGTGGAAAGTAGGTGGTCCCATCAGCTGCGAGCCTTGTTGATCATCTCATCAGCGGAAAAAAGCTGGACCCAATAGTATCGACCCTGGCTGATCATCTTATCAGTGGAAAGTAGCTTCCCATCAGCAGCGAGCCTGGCTGATCATCTCATCAGCGAAAAGTAGTTGGTCGCGTCAGCAGCGAGCCTGGTTGATCATCTCATCAGCGAGAAGTAGCTGGTCCCGTCATCAACGAGTACAACTAATCAGTGGAAAGTAGCTGGACCCATCAATTTGTGGCGTTGTCGCAGTAGCTTACGTTGATCAGTCTTGCAAGCCCGCGTGGTCAAGTGAACAGACACGATTAAACACCACCTCTTGGTCACTTCCTTGTCGCATGCCCTCCATGTTCATTTCCTTGCACGCCCTCGTTCCCACCTGCTAACTCGCCTAGGCAGCAGTTCGTGAGACGATCACACACGCTGCAGCAACGCTCGCCCTGGTCATTCGCTTCAGCGCACCCTGGTCCCCGTGGTCACCTTCGTCACCCTGAATGCCTTCCTAGAGTCGTGCATGGCATCTTCACTCGGTCTTGGTCTCTTAGCTGTAGCAGCCAAATCCGCCATGGCCGGAGTGTGGTTGCTCACGGGAACGGGCACAATCCATCTTGTTGTGGTCTCCTCTGATCGCCATTCGAGCACTGCGTTCCCTCTGGTCCCTCGATCCCGGATGTTCCTTCCCTTGGTACCTTGCCAACTATATCAGTCCCGCCTGTGTGTCGTCCCTGCAGCCCATTCTTCAGTGTAAGACCCTCAACTTCGGTCCCCAGCGGCCAAGAGAGGCCCATCGCCGTGGTACCTGTCCAACAACTGCCTATTGGCCATGCGCGGTTAATGAGAACCCCATGACTCTTTTGCCAGCGGCAGACTGGAATGGTAAGCCCGACCAGGGCCCAGGCAGATAGTCAAAATGGATGGGACCAGCCGTCTTTAATAACCATGGTTGGAATAACCCGAGGCGGCAACGCTCCCCAAACTGTCATCGAGGAACCACCAGAAAAATACTGACACCGCTAAGTGCTCCGGATTGTCAAGAGCCATCGTCCGAAACGGACTTCCGAAACTCGAATAACTCGAGCGTCGGAGGTCAGGTGAACCCACAAAAACAGGGTTTGTTGCGCCAACCATCTCCGTCGAACATTGTAGTCCAAACTCGTACCACACAGCAAGATATCAGTTGTTATGTCTGAAATAGTCAGTCGCGCGATCGTCACCTCTAAAATTGTAATGTCTGTCAAACTAGGGACTCACAAAAATAAAAAGGGTCACCGATGGTTAAATCGAACCACATAGATCGGGGTAGAACAAGGGCAAACATAATCGGCATAAAAAAGCGGTAGACGCATTAAAATAGCGAAAAACAATTTCCTTTTTTTTTCGTTCTTGAATATATATATATTTATTTACCCACATAAATAAATAGATCCCCACCTTTGACTCGGCCACACAAAAGTGCTTACGCGGGAGTGGGCTCGCGCGCCTGCGACCGAACGTCATGGGAAATAAAAGTAAGGACAAAATAGGCCATCATAAGGGGTGTCAAAAATACGGTAAAATAATAGGATAAAATATGTAATAGTACGGGCCACGTCAAAGAGTGGAGGGGCGGAAAAAGCGGAAAAACAGGGGTCGCCCCCGGCACCTCGTTTTTTCGTCACTCATCCGACAAAAGAGGAGTTAAAAACGGATGTAGCAGAGAGACATAGGCTTCTAAAACTCTCATTTCAGGTGGCCGACCGGTCTGCGGCCGCCCGACAGATAGCCCGGACCTCTTCTCGACGTCCCTGTCGAGGCCTCACTTATCTGTCCAAAGAGCATGTAAGTGACTCGAAGGATGCTTCCCTTCTTTCAAAACTGCAATCGTTGACCAGAGAAGGATGTCCCTTGGATCACAGGACAGTTCGCCGCACCATCCACTACTCTCTGAGGAACCATCTCATCGTTTTACAGAGTCCCCACGATACC